ATGATTTGATATTATCCTACAGATCTCAGATGATTTTCCCCACATTCTTTTCTCTTGTTCTCAGTTTGGATACTTTTCGTTTAGCTGTCCTTAAGTTCCCTAAATGCTTTCCTGTTAACTCCATCTAATGAATTCTTTATTTCTGATATTGTATTTTTCTTTTTCTTTTTTAAATAAACTTTTTTTTTAAAGATTTTATTTATTTATTCATGAGAGACAGAGAGAGAGAGGCAGAGGGAGAAGCAGGCTCCCAAGGAGCAGGGAGCCCGATGTGGGACTCATCCCAGGACCCTGGGATCATGACCTGAGCCGAAGGCAGACGCTTAACCATCTGAGCCACCCAGGTGCCCACTTTTTTTTTTTTTTTTAAAGTAAACTCTACATCCAGCGTGGGGCTTGAGCTCATGATCCTGAGATCAAGAGTCGCATGCTTCACTGACTGAGCCAGCCAGGTGCTCCTGATACTGTATTTTTCATTTCTAGCATTTCATTATATTTGTATAGTTAACATGTGTCTGCTAAAATTTCCCATTTCTTCATGAATGTTGTCTACATTTCCACTAGATTTTTTAGCATTTTCATCATAGCTATTTCAAAAACCCTATCTATTGATTCCAGTGTTTGGCCTCCACCAGAATTTTTAGCATTTTAATCAGAGTTATTTTAAAGATCCTGATAATTCAGCATCTAGGTTGTCTCTAGTTCTTCTATTGAACCTTTCCTCTGTTACCATGGATCTCATTTTCTTACTTTTGCACGTGCCTTTGATTTGATTGTATGCTAGACATTTTGCACACACACAAAAAACAGGAGAAACCGAAGGAAATATTACTTACCTTCAAAATGGGGCATGCCCATTTTTCTTTCAACCAACTTGAGTAGTGGCTCAGTTAACCTAGGTCTGGGCTTTATTGTGGCTTTAGTTTAATTCAGTTCACCATTAGCTTTAAATTTTGAAGGCAGAATCAGCACTTTCCCTTCAGTAAGTCCTGGGTTTGGGACATTGGCAAGATTCCAGAGATTTGACTTAGCTTCACAGCCAAGTCATCAGTCAGTCTTTGGAAATGTGAGAGATCGCAATGGAGACAAAGTGATCTAGCTGCCAGGTTTTTTTTGGTCAGTGGAATGGGGTATGGGGAGGTATTTCTCTCCATTCCTGTATGTGCCCTATCCTAGTCTTTTGAGGAATAATGCCCACAGTGCTTTGGGGATGGATCTCTCAGCTCTCCTGCCCCACTGCTTAACCTTCAAGAGTGCTTCTGGTGGATTTTTCAGTGTTCCTCCTTTGTTCCCTCCTTTTTAAAGGGTATCTTGCACTTGGGAGAGGCTCCACTTACCTCAAAGGAAGGACTGATCTGTCTCAACTCTTTTATCTACCCCACTCCCACTTCTCATCTGTTATCTCCCCATACTTGGTTAAGATCCAAGAGATAAGATTGGTGAATGGGTTCAGGCTTTCTCTGTGGATTTGGGTTCTCTCGATGCTAATGTCATGCCAGTCTCTATGGGCCTGTTAAAATTTTGTTAAATTTCAACTGGTTTGTCTTTATTCCCCTATGGGGGATTCCTCTTCCCAGCATAGTTCAGCCAGAAATATGAGTAGCCATGGGTCTGTCTCTCCTCTGAAGTGCTAAGTCCTTCATTTATGAAGGTTCATTTATGTTTCTTTATGTCCTTATCTTTCTGATGGGTTTAAAAAGATTTTTTGATCTTTTAGCTAATTTGTCCTTTTCTTTGTTTGCTAGGATGGGAGCTATATCCTCTTGTGATTTTCAATATCCAAATCAGAAGTGAATTCCAGGAATGAGAATTTTCAAAGTGGTTTCATTTACATATTTTACTAACTAGTTTATAAAATTAAAAATAAATGGATAATAAAAAGTCAAATTTTATTCAGTGGTAAACAATGAAAAATAAGTCATCTTCCCATTCTATTTCCCATAGCCCTCTTTACTCCCTGTACAGAGACAAACATCATTACCAGTTTCTTGCAATTTCTTCTCAAAATTTTATTTACAAAATGTGAATATCCTCCCCACCTTATTTTTTTTAAGAAACAGAAGCATACTCTATTTTTTACACTTTACTTTTTTCCATATAATTATTTCACCATCTTGAAGTCTTTTATAGGCTATAATATATGTTAGTATGGATGTACTTTGGTTTATGTAAACAATCCCTGGTGATTCAAGTTGTTGCCAGTAGTTTTTCTCACAATGCAATGTATATTCCTTTGCCCACATTCACTGTTGAGTGTATCTGTGGTATCAGGAATGGGTATATTTAAAGTGCTTCATGAAGGCCACTGGAGCTTCACATTATTTTATAGTGTGTTTCCCTAGGTGTTCCCTGGCTCTTAGGAGTTGGTGGTATGAGTTTTGGGAGGACCAGTACCACACAAGAGGCATAAGGTGCTGTGCTAGAGAGTTGCCTAGCAGGTGACATCAGAACAAAGCTGGCTGGGTTAGACCCTATCAGTGTAGCTGTCTTCCCTTCCTCTCTCCCTCCCTTCCTCTTCTTTTCTTTTTTGGGGGTGTAACTCTTTCTTTATTCATATATTGGGGATGTTAAAAGTTACTGATGCCTGATTCCTCTCCTGCATCCTCAAGCCCTACCATGGGGAAGAAAAAGATAAATGTCATTTTGTTTGTAATGCCTTAACCAGCTGTATGACTGAAATGATCCTGATAAGCAAAATTACATCCAAGGAGGATTTCTAAGGGAAATGAAGACTCATTTGTTATATAAGAATCAGTGTCTTTGTGATTCTGGGATCTTCCTGTGAAGATGTTATGTTTTTTGAGGAATTTGTTCCTAATTACCTATCTAATTAAAGCACATTAAACTTAGTTATTGCAATTTGAGAAACCAACATGCTTTCTTATGAAAAAGGCCCATGCACAGAAAGTGCTCCATCTTTCTCCTAAGATCTGCGATCCAAGGAGAGATATATAAACATAAGATAATAACAACATCTATTTATTTAATAACATAGGCGTAAAGAATGTCATGTAGTCCTCACAGGACCCCTTTCAGGGAGATTTTATATATTGGGAAGTGTGCTTATCTGCTTCCCTAAGACTCCCTATCTCAGTACTTGACTTTACTATTCATCCAGTTGCTTTTAAAGTTAGAAACCTGGTAATTTTCCTGTGATATCTATCCCTCCTTCTCTCATTCTCCCATATCCAGTTCTACAGCATGGAAAAATTTACTTCCTAACATCCTTGAGAATCTATTCACTCTAGTCCAAGTGAACTATTTCATTGTCATTTGTTTGCAGTATCCTTTAGTCTCGCCTAGATTATCAATTCTTATCCCCCTCTTGATTCATTTCACTCATTAGCTAACATGAACTCTTTATTTTTTTAAAGTTTATTCCTTATTTTTTTGAGTGTCTCTAAACTCAATGTGGGGCTCAAACTCATGACCCCAAGATCAAGAGTCACATGCTCTTCTGAGCCAGCCAGATGCACCTAACATGGACTCTAAGTCTGACCTTGTCACTCTTTGCTCAGAACTCTCTAGTGCCTTCCCAATGCCCTTAGAATAAAATCCCTCACATGAGCTCTGTGGATCTGCACCACTAGTCTTTCCTACCTCTTCACCTCTTGCAACCAACTCCTTTCCCCTTTCTTCTTTCCAGCCACACTGGTCTTTTTGTGCTGCAAACTGGCCAAACTTCTTCCATCCTCAGGGCCTTTGCACAAACTCTTCCTTTGCCTTAGGATTCTCCCCAGGCCTTGCCTACATCCTCATCCCTTGTTCCCCAAGCTAATGCCTTATCCCCTAGATTTCATTTTTAAAAATCTCTTACTTCTCTGTCCAAACAAATCTATATTGGATCACCCTGTTATTTGCAATGCTCCCTATTTCTCCTTATTAGCATTTACCACTCTTCTAATTATATAGTTATGTAGTTCTTTTCATTTAATTTTATTTTCTCTAATTGGAATAGGTAGTACATCCACTTGGTAAAAAATCCAAGTTGTACACAAGGCATAGAGTAAAAAGCCTCTTCTCTTCCCTGTCCCTCTATATCCAGTTGTTCTTACTAATAACCACTTTTAACATTTTGAATATCCTTCCAGAGTTATTTTCTGAGTAGACAAGCAATTCTGTATATAATATTCCTCTTCATTTTTTGCCTTCTCTTTATTAACACAGATACTATATACATTTTTCTGTAGTTTGTTTTTATCAGTTAATAATGTATCTTGACAATTCTTCTATGTCAATATGTAAATTGTTGCCTCTTTTCATGTACCAGATAGTATGGGCTTACCATAAAATTTTAACCTCAATTATTAGACATTGAGGTTTTTTTCAGGCTTTGGTTATTACAAACAATGGTGCATTGAATAACTCTGTATGTAAAGTCATTTCCCGCAAATATACCTATAGAATAAATTCCTAGAATTGAAATAAGGGAATTAAAGGCTTTATGCATTTTAAATTTTGTAGTTATTGCCAAACTGCTCTCAATGGAGGTTGTATCAATTCACATTCCCACTAGCCACAGATGAAAAATGCATGTTTCCTGACAACTGTGTTAGTGAAAATTTTTTTCTTTGCCATGTAAGAGGTGGAAAGTATCTCTTGGAAACTTTAATTTGCATGTTTTTTCTTCCTTGCAAAGTTATACTTCATGTTTAACAGCCATTTGTGTTTCTTATTTCGTGTGCTGTTTCTTCATAAATTTTGCTTATCTTATTAATGTCTGATTTCCTCTCTCTACTTTAAGGTCCGTGCTGTGGGTGCAGGGATCTTGTTAGTTTTGTTCATGACATGGTTAGTTCCAGGTGCTAGAATGAAGCTCAAGAAATGACTGGCTCATGTCATGCAGCAGTCAAGTTCAGAACCCATGTTTGACTCCAAAGTCCACATGCTTTTCCACGATCACTCACGGGAAAAACTAAGCTTTTAACTCACCACCCCAGGGGCCTGATGGGTAATGTAAAACGGCTTAAGTGTGTCAGGAAGTGGATTGTGGCAAAATGGCGAACCTAAGTACAGTCGCAGCGGTTTCTCACGTTTTACTGACATTCGGGAATGGAAGCCCACGGTCGGATTTTTACATGCCCCCAGGCCGGGTTTCTGGCTTTCTTGCGAAATCTCCCGGTTTTTAAATATTTCCAGTCAAAACAAGACTGCGCTCACATGCAGCCCACCGGCAGCGGATTTGCCAATTCTGGCGTAGAGAGTGGGAACCTGATGAGGCGAATACCTCAGGCAGTGAAAGCTAAGAAACGAGGAGGTTTTGTTAAAGTCGAGAATGGGGTTCTGTATCCTAGGGTTTGAGGGCCAGGATTCCCGGAAGGACTGAAATAAACGCAAAGTGGCGGAAGGATCGCGCGGTCTTCCCGGCTGTGTCCGGCCAGTCCGGCCAGCGCGATCCCGAGTTTCTCCAGCAGCGCCCAAGACAACGTCGTGGGGGCGGTCAGGGTTGCCGTGGAGGAAGAGAACTGCCCGTGTATTCCCTCACCGGGCCCATCAGCTTCAAGCCGTCGCGAAGCACCACCCGACCCTTCCCAGGTTTCCTGAGGACCCTCCCAGGTGAAGCGTTCAGGCCCGCGATCTCTTTTAGTTCCCCGCTCAGGCCCCTCCCAACTCCCCCAGTGCCACGACTTCCGTTTGCCTGGTCGTCTGGGAAACCGCCAACTTCCGGCCGCGAAGCGGTGGGCGGAGCCAAGATGGCTGAGGAGCCGCTCGTGAAGGTGAGCGCCGAGTTTCTTTTTGGGGTCCCGTCCGGCAAGCAGGCCAGGGCCAGGCCGGGCGGAGCAGAAAGGCGAGGCAGGTTGGCGGGCTGCCTGTGTCCTACGCAGCTGTCCCTGGGGAAGTGCGGAGCGGGCTCTGGAGCTGCTCGGGGTGCGCGGGCCATACAGCCCCGCTCCTGGGAGCTGGTCCCCCTGGGCAAGGCTGACTTCTTTGCAGCGCTGGGCCTGGGCTGGGATTGTGGTCCCTCTTGGGGTGCGCTGGACGGAAAGGGGAGGTTTCATCAGAAATGGCGCTTTTCCTAGTCCCATCTTGTCTGTCTCACGAGGTTTGGAAAGGAAGCACTACCGTTTGTGCAGAGACGGTTTGTGTTTAATCCCCTGGATTAGGAATTGAATATGACAAAGCCTGGAGACTCTGAGCGTCACTGCCTTCTGCCGGTGGGCCGAGACCGTGCTTTTTCTCTGTTGTAATTTAGTTTAGGAAAGTGCTGTTTTGGGATTCAGCTGAAGCTTGAGTTAGGCATTAATTAAACTCCACAGAGCTGCTAATTCAAAGTAGCCCAGATGAATTCGGGATAACCCAGTGGTAGTTATTTGTGAAGTGTATATTTTTAATTGGATCTAATTTCTGTGAAGTTCTCAGTGTGAAACCTTGTTTACGTTGTTTTAGTGTTGGGTTTCAAAGTATGTTCTACTCATTTGTTAGAATGACTTTATTATTTATTTGGAATGTATTGCCCTTTGAAAAACGCTCTGGGAAACATAGGAGACAAAATAGCAGTTTCTGGCTGACTTTTACAACTTAGTTTTGGCCGTTAAGGAGCAAGGCCAACGCTGTTGGGGCGGGGGGGTTTGTTTTCTGTTCTCTTTTCATATCCAGAGAGGTCAAATTATTGTTATTTTTAAAGATTTTATTTATTTGAGAGAAAGAGAGAGAGCATGAGCAAGGGGGCAGAGGGAGAAGCAGGGAGACCGAAGCGGTATTCGATCCCGGGACTCCAGGATCATGACCTGAGCCAAAGGCAGTCGCTTAACTGACTGAGCCACCCAGGCACCCGAGAAGTCAAATTATTTTTAGTGTAATCATACAACTCTGAATACAGGGAAGGAGGCCCAAAGCAAAAATTTTTGTTAAGCTATAAATTTAAAAAAAAAAAAAAAAGGCCTGACTAATGTTACTGGGTTTTAGATATTAGAAACATATCAAAGAAAATACTTCACCTACATAAATGTAAGGTTTACTGGTAACACAATGCTATAAATATAGCTTATATCTCTACCTGCAATGATAGGTGTTCATAAATAGAATATGAACTTGATTTCTGTGATGGCAGAATTGTCCTGTACTTTTGAATCTAATAGTGTTTTAAAGATAAATTTTGTTTCAATATGACTTTAGCACTTGAGCCTGAAGTTAACTATTTTCATTATTGTCATGTTTATTGCTAGCAGTGTTATATTTGTAGTAATTTGATCTTTTCATGTTACTGCTGCAGGGAGATTTGAATTTCTGCCCTTTTTGGAAGTGATCTGGTATCTTGTAATAAAATTAAAAGGGCCCAACAGTCTCATTCACTCAATCAACAGAGCAGTATCCCACTGAAATAAAAGAAAACTATAAGCATATAGTACAAGGGTATTCATTGCAGTATTGTTTATAGTGGCAAAATGCTGGAAACAAGGTGAATACCCATTAATAGGGTAATAGATGACTTCTGATACTTCCATTCTGAGGATTATTATGCAGCCATTAAAAATGTTAGAACTATATATGTTGTTGTGGATGGTATACATTTTAAAAAAGCTTGATGTGGAGTAGAGTGTTAAAAAATAAAATTTAACTGAGTAGACTTTAAAGATCTTACTGGCTTTATTCAATGATTCATGAATCAGGCAGCATTCATTCTGTACAAAATGGAAGGCTTCATAGGCAGAAAGGAGTGGGAACAGGGAAGTTACACGAGACAAAAATGTTGGTTATTGCAAGATCACTTTCCTTTAGATGACGGCAGGGGTCTATCAGGCATATTACCTCACTAATACTTACTGGGTGATTTTTCTTTAATTGAGATTTATTTTTTAAAGATTTTATTTATTTGACAGAGAGAGCACAAGCAGAGGGAGAAGCAGTCTCCCAGCTGAGCAGGGAGCCCAATGGAGGGCTCAATCCCAGGACCCTGGGATCATGACCTGAGCCGAAGGCAGATGCTTAACTGACTGAGCCACCCAGGTGCCCCCTGACTGGGTGATTTCTGATTACTGGTTTAAGATTCTATTCCTGGGAGAGGTAGAAAGTATAATTCAGTCTTTGTTGACATGGAACTTAATAACTCCATTTTGGGCCTTTTTTTGTTTTTTTAAAGTAGGCTCCACAACCAGCGTGGAGCTCAACATGGGGCTTGAATGCATGACCCTGAGATCAAGACCTGAGCTGAGATCAGGAGTTGGACGCTTAACTGACTGAGCCACCGAGGCACCCCCCGGTTTAATAGGGGTATATTGTGTGATCTTAATTTTGTGGCATAAAGAAAAAAACACATAGATCGGTAGATATGGCTATATAGATGTGGAGAAGATTAAAAGACTTCAGACAAAGAGAATTTTGGACAAATGCATAAATAAAAATATAAGACTGCTGTTGTAAAGGCCTTGAGGAGGGATGGAATAAAACTAGGCTAACGTGGGACACACAGAAATTCTAAACTATCAAGGATTATTACCAATTAGTTCCTTAGGAAAACTGGGGACTGATATTTATATTTTATTTAAGAATATGTAAGAAATGGGGGCACCTGGGTGGCTCAGTTGTTAAGCGTCTGCCTTCGGCTCAGGTCATGATCCCAGGGTCCTGGGATTGAGCCCCGCATCAGGCTCCCTGCTCGGTGGGAAGCCTGCTTCTCCCTCACCCATTCTCCCTGCTTGTGTTCTCTCTCTCTGTCAAAATAAATAAAAATCTTAAAAAAAATTAAAAAAAAGAATAAGAAATGATTTCGAGATCTTAATAAAAGCAAATAATACTGCTTTCTATGATTTATACTTACAAATTTTTTATAACTCCCTAATTCCCATTATTCAATGTATTTGTATATATACTTGTTTTTCTTCCTGTAAATTTAAAGATTAAACCTTTCAGAATGGAAAGCAAAAATTACTATTGTACTAGTTGATTTGGCTCAGATATAGTGCCTAGCATATACCAAATATTACATGAATATTTGTTAGATGAATAAATGGTCATAGAACTACATAAAAATGAAGAACCAGAAGAACATGATGTACTCTACATACATCCCAGCTATAAATGAGATCAAGTGGGCTAATAGAATCCTGTCTCAGAATGTTCTGAAAGACTTTTTGAAAAAGAGACTCACTAAAAAATTATAATTTATTTTAATTCTCCTTTCTGCAGAAAGGTTGCTGACTCATGAAGATGCTTTTTGAGTCTTTAAGATTTTTATTTATTTTTTTAGTAACCTCTGTGCCCATTGTGGGGCTGGAACTTACAACCCCAAGATCAAGAGTTGCATGCTCTGCTGACTGAGCCAGCCAGGCAACTTGAACCTTTAAGATTCTTTCCCAAAGTTTAAAAAAATATCCCAGTTAGGGGCACCTGGGTGGCTCTTTTGGTAAACGTCTGACTCTTGATTTCTGCTCAGGACATGATCTCAGGGTTGTGGGATCGAGCCTTGCCTTGGGCATGGAGTCTGCTTGAGATTCTCTCTCCCTCTGCCCCTTCCCCTGCTTGTGTGTGCGCTCTCTCTCTAAATACATAAAATCTTAAAAAAAAAAAATCCCAGATAAAAAATAGAGTTCTTTAGCATTTTAAAAACAGCTTTGTTGAGGTTTAATACACGTACCATAAAATTTACGGTTTGATCACTTCTAGTAAATTTATATACTTGCACAACTGTACCACAATCCACTTAACCTCCATCATTCCAAAAAGTTCCTTTGGGTCCATTTACAACCACTCTTTACTCCTAACCCCAGCTGACCACTGATCTGCTTTGTGTCTCCATAGTTTTGCCTTCTCTGCAGTTGCATGTAATCACACAATATATAGTCTTATGTGTCTGAATTTCACTTTGCATGTTTTTTGAGGTTCATTTATATTGTACATAGCAGTACTTTGTTCCTTTTTATTTCTAAGCACTATTCCATGGTATGAATATATGCATTTTGTTTATCTACCAATTGATGGACATTAAGACTTTTCCTGTTTTTGGCTATTATGGATAATGTTGCTGTGAATCTTTGCATGGCCACCCAGGCGCCCATGCATGGATATGTTTTTATTTATCTAGGAGTGAAATTGCTGGGTTGGTAAGTGTATGTTAACAAAAAATCAAAACTGCCAAACTTTTTTTTTTTAGATTTTAATTAATTAATTAATTAATTAATTTTAGAGAGAGAGCAAGTGGGGGTAGGAGCAGAGGGAGAGGGACAAGCAGACTCCGAGCTAAGTGCAGAGCCTGATAATGGGGCTCGATCTCAAGACCCTGACCTCAGGGCCCTGAGATCACGAACTGAGCAGAAATCAAGAGTTGGATGCTTGGGGGCGCCTGGGTGGCTCAGTCATTAAGCGTCTGCCTTGGGCTCAGGTCATGATCCCAGGGTCCTGGGATTGAGCCCCGCTTCGGGCTCCCTGCTCAGCATGGAGCCTGCTTCTCCCTCTCCCACTCCCCCTGCTTGTGTTCCCTCTCTCACTGTCCCTCTCTCTCTCTCTCTGTCAAATAAATAAATAAATAAAATCTTAAAAAAAAAAAAAAAGATTTGGCTGCTTAACTGGCTGAGCCACCCAGGTGCCCCATGCCAAACTTTTCTAAAGTTGCTGTATACCATTTTACATTTCCATGAGTAGTATGTGAGGGTTTCAGTTTTCCACGTCCTTGCCTTGTTAATACTTCATATTGTCAGTCTTTTAATATCAGTCATTCTAGTGTATGTATAGTGGTTATTGTGGTTTTAATTTATATTTCCCCAATGAATAATGGTATTGA